AAAAAAAAAAAGAGATGGACTGAGTTTTGATCATTGTGTAATGTTGTATGGCCAATAGTTTCAGCCCTTTGGGAGGCTGAGTTAAGAAGATGTTTGAGTCTCAGAGTTCTAGGCCAGCCTGAGTAATGTACAAAAACGCCAGCTCTAAAAGGGGGTGGTGGTGGGTATTTTTCCTGCATCAAACATATTTCTCTCATTTAATTTAAGTTTTTTTTTTTCAATTTTTATTTGGGAAGTTTACACACATAATAATAATAATAATAATAATAACAACAACATCAACAAGAACAACAACAAAACCTCCATGTTCTCACCTGCCATATACATTACCAAAATGTAAAACATGGGGCTAAGGATGTAGTTTAGTAGAAGAGGGCTTGCCCAGCAGGCATGAAGTCATCCTGGTATCTGTCCCCACACTGTAAAAATGTAAAGATAAGGGGCTGGGGTTGTGGCTCAGTGGTAGAGTGCTCGCCTCACATGTGTGCAGTCTTGGGTTCAATTCTCAGCGCCACGTAAAAATAAATAAATAAAATGAAGGTATTTAAAAAAAAATGCAAAGGTAAAACATCTTTAAGCTTTATTTTATTCCTATAGGTGTCCATTGATGGAAGTGAAAGTGTAACAGGTACTGGAATAATTGGAGAAAATGAACAAGAGAAAAAAATGCAGGTATGTAAATCTCCTTTGTTATATAAGAATCTCTTAACATTTTCTAAGCAACAATAGAGAACATGCTACTTTTCCAGGAAAATTGCTCCATTTCAGAAAAACAGTATTCGTATTAGGACCAGCTTTCTCAAATTACCTCAGGCCCTAAGATTTGTTAGTGGTGGTAGAGTGACATTACAGAAATAGAAATATCACAGAAATCCAGCTTAGTTTGTATTCTGGAATCCAAAGCAGTTTTGGAAACCAGGCAGTTTTCTTACTGTCCCATTCATGGAATTTTGTGGATCCATTCTCTGTGACTTACTCATTAGTATGACCTAATCCTTGCTATTTTGCCTTTTTTTTTCCCCACCGACTTTCCTACCTCCATACCCCCTCCCTTCCCTTTTTTCCCCTTTGCCTTATCTAAAGTTTGTCCATTCCTCCCAAACTCCCCCCCAATCCCCATTATGAATCAGCATCCTTATATCAGAGAACACATTCGGCATTTGGTTTTGGGGGATTGGCTTACTTCACTTAGCATTGTATTCTCCAACTCCATCCATTTACCTGCAAATGCCATGATTTTATTTTCTTTTAATGTTGAGTAATATTACATTGTGTATATATACTACTTTGCCATTTGTATGTTTTAAAAGTTTCTTCTACTTCTATTCTTCTACTTCTATTCCCGTATATTCCTTTTCAAATTCTGATGGGAAGATCCAGACAAGCTAATCATTATTATTCATACTTAGCAAAACTGATTGTACTTTTTGTACCAGACTGCTTCCTGGGCTGCAGATGGCCTGTGGCTTCCTTTGATTCAGTGTTCACCCTTGGTCTAATCATTGGCTACCCCTTGCTCAGGTAACACCCTATTAACCACCCAAGTAACCATCTTTTTTGTCCCCCTTCTTACTGGGAATTGTACATGCTTGGAAAGCACTCTACCACTGAGCTATATTCCCAACTGTTGTTTTTTTTTTAATATTTATTTTTGGGGCTGAGGTTGTGGCTCAGCAGTAGAGTACTCGCCTAGCACACCTGAGGCACTGGGTTCAAACCTCAGCACCACATAAAATGAAATAAAGATATTGTGTTCACTACAACTGAAAAATAAATATTTTTTTTAAAAATGGATTTTTTAGTTTTAGGTTGACACAATATCTTTGTTTTATATTTGTGTGATGCTGAGGATCTAACCCAGTGCCTTATGCATACTAGGGGAGCACTCTACCACTGAGCCACAACCCCAGCACCCCCCCCCCCAACTATTTTATAATGTTATTTTGAGATAGGTTCTCACTAAAGTTGCACAGGCTGGTTTTAAACTTGTGAGCCCCTTGCCTTAGCCTCCCAGGTAGATGGGATTACAGGTATATGCCTCTGTGATCAGCCAGGGACACAGTTTGGAGCATTAACATCACCACTTAATAACATTTAGTGAGATTGTTAGGGCTTATCAAGAGATTTTTTCAGTTATAATACTAATAAACAATAAAAGAAAAGAATTACTGATGTCTCTGATACAAGTTTGATGATTGAATAGCCAGTCTATATATTTAACAGCTCAAGTGGTGCTACAGAGTAACAAGAATTTAAATTTAATTTTCTGTTTACTAAGTCCCTGAGCTTTGTAATTGTGTAATTCTTGGTAAAGTTTTCAAGTCTTGGAATTCACTTTCACATTTTATGAATGAGACTTAATATTTTTAAATTTTTATTGTGTCAAATTCATCTCAGCTAAATTCTACTGAAATGGAAATACATGTAAACGTATGCAAGAGATAGCTCAGTGACTTGCAGTGGCCTATTAAGTTTTCTTATTGGTAACTACCAAATGATAAGATATTTAAGCAGTAGAATCTTAGAATTTTTTTCTTTTGCAGTACTATGTTTTGAATCCAGGGGTGCTCTTCTACTAAGCTATATACATCCCCTTTTCTATTTTTTATTTTGAGACAGGGTCTTGCTGAGTTGCCCATTCCAGCTTTGAACTTGTGATCCTCCTACTTCAACTTCCCAAATAGCTAGGACTACAGGCCTGCACCACCATGCTGCAAACATAGATTCGGGGTGGGGGATAATGGAAATTAACCCAGAGTATTGTATCAGGGTATACATTCCCAGCCCTTTCTTCCTTTCTCCTTTCCTTTTTGTACTTTTCCCCCCTCTTTCCTCTCTCTCTTCTGCTTTCTTTCCCTCCCTCTTCCCTCCCTGCCTTCATCCTTCCCTCTCCTTTCCTCCCCTTTTCCCTTCCTTCTTCTCTTTTTTATCACCAGGGGCACTCTATCATCCCCACCTTTTTTATCTTTTATCACTAAATTGCTGAGGCTGGCCTGGAACTTGCAATCCTCCTGCTTTAGCCTCCGAAATCACTGGGATTATAGGCATGTGTCACCATACCTGGCAACTGTAGAATATTTTTAAAGAAAGAAAGTTATAAATGTGCTTGTAATTAACTAATATAGAGTGAGACTTAACCAAAAAACGAATGAATTTACCATCAGGCTTCTTAACCTATTAACATATATTATTATAAAAGACTACTAACATCAGTTGTTAATTTCTGAATCCAGAAATAGAGGATTGAGAATTGCTAAGGCAAAAATGTCATTAAAAACTTCATTACCTTTTTTTTGAGGGAGTATCAGGGATTGAACCCAGGGGTGCTTAATTAACCACTAAGCCACCTCCCCAGCACTTTTTTTATATTTTATTTAGAAATAAGGCCTTGCTGAGTTGTTTAGGGCTTCACTAAATTGCCCAGGCTGGTTTTGAACTCATGATCCTCCTGCCTCAGCCTCCCAAGCTGCCATGTGCCACCATACCCCACAACTTCATTACTTTTTATCTGAAGAAATGAAACCATTGTTATTGGTACCAATAGACAAAATAATAGAAGACAGTTCAATAGAATTTTTTTTGACTACAGCCTTCTATTTTTTCTTTGCAGACTAGATCTGTGCTGTCCAGTATGGTAGCTACTAACCACATGTAGCTATTGAGCACTTGGTGGCTAGTTTGAATTAAGGTGTGGATTTTTAAGACATATTATGAAAAAAAAATGTAAAATATCTCATCAATAATTTTTCATATACATGTTGAAATAACACATATTCAGCCTATTATATTGGGTTAAATAAAATTAACTTTACCTGTTTCTTTTTCCCATTTCAAAGTGGCAGTAGAAAATTTTAATTATATATGGCTTGGATTTGTGACTTACTCTTTTTCTCTACTTACTCTTTTTCTCTTTATTACTTGACCAAAACTTCCTGTTTCTCTAAAACAATTGAGTATCACATTTGAGATTGAGGGCCCAATGTATGGTATTAAAAAGCCAGACTGACTCAAGGAATCGTAGCAGATAAGCAAAACGTATAACTTCTGGTCTCATCCCTTTGTGCTCCTTCTACATTTTTGCTTATAAAGTTGTAGCTCTTGTGTCTGCCTGAACTTTAAAGAAATTGATAGCTAAAGCAACAGATTTTCCTGTAAATAGTCTTGTTTCTAAGCTCTAGATTTTTTTTAAAAATTGTGATGTTTACAGTTTAGAATTTTTATTTCAGCTGTAACATGAAGATGTTAGTTGTGCCTCTGAACTCATCTCTGATATGAACAACAAAAAAAAATTCGCCGGACAAGGAAAGGCTTATAGTACTCAAAGCAGTTCTCAGGTGGAGGCAGTTTTGCCCCAGGACATGTGGCAATGTCTGTGGACAGTTTTTTTGGTTGTCAACAATTTAGGTAAAACTACTTGAAACTTGGTGGGTAGAGATTTCCCCCAAAGGATAGCTCCACCAA